ATTTTCTCCTATCGATTCCGCAATGTCTTCATAAGAATATATCCAAAGATTGTAACTTTCTGTTTCAACTTTGTGGCCCCTGTCATCGACAAATAAACGACATTTACTAAGTTAGGAGGATAAAGAACACAATTTAACTCAATGCGCAATTCAGCTTCTAAATCGCTGTCACCAGAGTTGTAACCAGTGGGGTTTTTTCCTTACTATTACCGATTCAACTGGTCAGACCGGTCTAGACCAGCCGATATATTGGCATGAGTGATTCGTCCTTTTTTGACCATATACCAGTCAAATCAACCCCTGGATTAGTCATATCTTCCTTCTAATCACCACACTAATGATATAAAATCACTGCTTCACGACTGTAGTGCTTTTTACTATTTGTTTCCATGTTTTCTCTTCCTTGGCATCTATCGATGGACAGAAAACTTCACGAGACTACGAATTCTATAGTAATTTTGTTCTTTGATTAACTGTTCGTTAGACATCGACACTATTTATTAACTGTGTACTTAGTCTATCTTCCACGCCATATTCGCTTTGTTATCTCTTATGTTTGTGAGAAATATATGCTATAAATAGTAGAAATACAAATAAATCTGTGACAAACTACAACACTGAACAATTATTCGATTTTGTTGTAATAACATAACGTCATACCAAAGTGAGTTGAAAAAATATAATAAGAATACTATGACGACTTTTGACGTAATAGATTAGTTTGATGCATATTTTCTCACTGAAATAGTCTTCGACACTAGTAAAAAAGCTTTTGATTTGCGAAAAAACCGCTTTTATGATCATTTTTTCCGAAGAAAAACTTGCAAAAGTTAAAAAAATCTAGACTCACCAGTGAAGAAAAAGTTATATCTACTGATCGGTAAGAAATCCTCTACCAGACTGGCCGTTTACCGTTACCAGTCACAAGTCTGGCTGTCGTTCCTCTTGCCAATAAACTATCGACTGCGATACAACCCATCTTGATCATATCAGCCTGTTTCTTCACACCCAAAAATAGGTCGCACATGTTAGTTTTCAAATCCACAAACTTTCACTTGGTCATCTTTTTTGAATTAGAAAGTTGTGAGAAAAAATTTCTTAGGAATATTAAAATACATCACAGTTGCCCTAGAAACTCGTTTTCACTTTACGTCCGCATTTTGTTTGTGTAAAAAGGAAAATCCTTAACTATAATTGCTGTGCATTATCAAGCGAAATCCTACGTTTAAGGTCTTGGACCTCAATTCTGACCTTGCAGTCATCCACGTGAAAGCGTATGAGTCAATTCCGGTCGGAATGCTCGAGAAAATATCGAATCTTAGTAACAGGAATAGGAAGGTTCGAATTCGGTGATCGTTTCTTCCATTTCCAGATGAACCGATCAGGACCGAGCACAGCCGGCTACCAGATACTGGCACTATATTCTTGCTTTCAAACAGGATCATTTTCTACTTGGAACTATTGAATTACCGGCGAGTACCTGTCAGAAGGTTACTGAAACAGAACGTCGGGATCGTTGGCCTGGACATATATGGGAATGAGCAGTCTAGCCAGAAGCCCCATTAATATTTTTTTTTATTGTAAGGATAAAACAAGTAGCGCTAATCGACAGTCGATTAGCTTAACCCTAGACTGACTTAGTGGTCTGAAAACAGATGTGCACCTACGTCAATCTGTCTCTCTAATCTGGTAGTCACATGTTAAGGATCGTCCAGATGATCACAAATAGGGTCTAAAGGACCATACTGATGGTACAAATGGCTCTCCCAATGAAGCAAATGATCATTCGCACTGCGATAATGGTCCTTTGCGTCATTGGAACAGCCATTCGTACTATCAATATGGTCCTTCAGATCCATCAATACGGTCATTCGTACCACGATTTTGGTCACTGGTACCAAGGCTATGGTACTTTGTGTGATGGAAATGGTCACTTGCACCATGACTATGGTCATTGGTACCACGAAAATGGTCACTTGTACAACGCCTATGGTGCTTTGTACCACGGAAATGGTTATTTGTACGATCCTTATGGTACTATGTACCCAAAAAAATGGTCATTTGTACCATGTCCATGGTACTTTGTACCACGAAAATGGTCACTTGTACCACGCCTATGGTACTTTGTACCACGAAAACAGTCATCTGTCCCATCACTAGGGTACTTTGTACCGTCGCTATAGTACTGTGTACCGTAAAAATGGTCATTTGTACGATCCCTATGGTACTATGTACCCAAAAAATGGACATTTGTACCATCACTATGGTACTTTGTACCATGAAAATGGTCATTTGTACCATGTCTATGGTACTTTGTACCACGAAAATGGTCATTTGTACCATCACTATGGTACTTTTTACCGTCGCTATGGTACTGTGTACCATGAAAATAGTCATTTGTATCATCACTATGACACTTGGTGCCACGACTATGGTTTTTGTGAGGTGAAAATGGTCACTCGTACCATCACTATGGTACTTTGTACCATCAAAATGGTCATTTGTGCCATCACTATGACACTTTGTACCATGAAAATGGTCATTTGTACCACGACTATGGTACTTTGTACCACGAAAACGGGCATTGGTGCCTCGTGTTACAGACAGACAGACACAGGTGAATTTTGGTTTCTAGACCCTAGCCTTTCAGCCTAGGGAACATACTATTATTCTTTTTTTTATTGTAAGGATAAAACATACTATTATTCAGGTCATATGAGAGAGGATACCACATAATCCTGGATTGGCCCGAAGAATACCATGTGGGGTGTGGGTGTGGGTGTGGGTGTGGGTGGGTGTGGGTCTGGGTGTGGGTGCGGGTGTGGGTGTGGGTGTGGGTGTGGGTGTGGGT